TTTTTTTTTGTTTTTTTGTGTGCTACTTTGAGCAAGTTAGACAAGCGAAGTTCGAGAGGGATTACTAGAACAATGCTAAACGAGTGCATAACTTGTAATTAATGTGGAATAGTATCGATTGATTCTTACGAAATAACCCTATGAGAAGGTTTATTTTGCCAGCATTTTTCTTTTGATCTTTATAGCTGGAGCTCAAAAAGCTGAAATATGATAAAAAATACCTTCAGGCTCAAATACTGTTTTATGTCGAGTAATAATGAAGAACTGTCGGATCCTAGAACTTTTAGCACTCTTGACCTTTCCATATTTCCGCTACCCACTGTTTTGCATCAACTTCGTGATTGTTCTTGGATAAGTTGACGCTTACCAGCCGTCTTATGAGTTACCAGCCGTGCTAGCTCGCGCTAGGCTTTCCTCCTTGTAATAAAGTCAGAGTACTCGGCTGATCTACCGTATACAATCGTCAAATGGTGCATTTCTGATCGCAAATTCTCAAGCAGTAATGTCCGGGCGCTACAAATTTGGCACATGGCCGTTAATGAGGCGAGCTCGACATGGATGGAGCAACGCAAATGGCATGGGGTGATGCTTATGACTACGAAGTCTCCTTTAGTTGCTCTTGTTTTCAGCGACAATCATCAGAGACCCGTTTATCTCAACTGTTGGGTCTACTGAGTGCTTGCTTTTCTACGATCGAGTAATTGATTGTGAAGCCTGGAATGTTACTTACTAATGTTATGGTTTGTGAGCGATGACACAGTCGTCGGAAGTCTTAATCCATGACCCTTACAATCTGCATGGAGATAATCATTGCCGGGATTCTCTAATTATTGGAGCTCGGTTCATTTTTTCGCTTTTTGGATTCCTTATTGAAATGTTAATTTTACGAAGGCTAACGCTGTTCAGAGATTGCAATCTCTCATCAAGGAATGAACAAATTTTGATTTCTTTAAAAGATTAGTGACAATAGCTATGGTAAAGACTGTGTCTATCAGTCCTTGTTAACGCTATCATCATCTTATAAAACAACTCCGCTATGCCGTTTCATTGAGCGGAACATGCTAGCGTAAAGGCTACATCATGAAGGATCGAGAACTCTCAAACACAGTCAAAGTGAGGCAAGATTTCCGCTACTTCCCTGCAACTGCGCGTTTTACTCTACTACTGATATCATACTTTGCCTCTTGTCGGGTCAAAATCCGCAAGGTTCTGCGTTTTTACCCTGTCGCGGCAATTTGAATGCAACATCAGTGCGCCGGTTGGCAGCAGCCGTGCTCAGTATTAGGAGGTAGCTTTCTATTACTTATCATTTCACTCTTTTATCTACTTCTTCTTCTTACTCTATTCAGCCACTTCTCATTCTGGTTCTTCTGCCAATAATGAATAACCTAGCTGCAAAATTGAATAGAAGGTAGCGAGTGATCTAGAAAACTACAAAAGAACTTTAGTAGGCTAGTGAAAAACCAAACGACATTGGAGGACTAAACGAGTTCCCCAAATAGCGAGAGCAAAGTTAGAGCTACGGAACCCTTAGAAAATAAGGCAAAAGCGCTGTCGCCCACTTCTGTCGATAAATTAAGGCTCAGCTCTTCCGAACACATTGTTTCTCAGATCGTTGAACGAACCCAAGGACAGCTGGTACAATCTGTTGAGTAGTGAAAGGCGACATAAAGCTTACTACTACTAATCTTATGTTTCCTTAGCGAATATTATACTTATTTTGTCCACCCCTTGACCGTCCTAAAGAAACTCTTCTCACTCAGTTGTTAAAAGAAACTTGGAACTATATGAGTCCGGAGAAGATTCGCTTAGTCTATACTGTCTCCCTTCTATCTACACTCATGGGCCTCGTCAGAAGGCGAAGCTTACGACAGTTACTTTGCTTAACCATGAAGAAATCCCCAAGGAGAACTTTCTTATGCATGTTGATCGTTAAACTTGAACGTAGTGGGTCGGTGAAGTTTTAGAGGACGAGAACACTTCCGAGTGTCTCATATCAATTTTGCTATCTGACAAATAGAAGAACAAAGAAATCATTTACCTTTAGAAGCGTATAGCTATTTGTCGAATTCTGGTTTATAAATTGAATTCCGTTCAGAAAGAAGCATCATGGAGGCGAAAGCGCCGGCGAAATTCGTTTGGAGGTAAGATTGTCCACTTTTTCTTACAAATACTCAATTGATACATGCCTATGTGCTCACTCACGTAAATCGTTGTTTTTTGTTGGAGAACAAATTTTTGACGTGAGTCTCGGGGTAGACTATGGCTCTGAGAAAACTTTGATGTTGTTCCTCTTCAACTCAGATTCTGGAGTAAAAGCTACACTTAACCAAGGTTGCCGACATCTGATTTTCAGCAATATTCTTTCGCAATATTGCCCGATTTTGTTCGTTTTCTTCACAAGCGTTCGCAAATTTGTGGATAGCTTTCGTACGGAATGTGTACTTTGCCAAAAGTGTTATACGATGGCTTGATCAACCGGAATAACTGATCGCTTAAACTTGGACATTGGAATTCGTTAGTGTATGTCTTTTTGCTTCCTGTGGCTCGTCTTCAAAAAGCCAGCAAACAGAGCTTACATGTGCTCTCTAGATCTTGGTCTGTGCCTCGCCCCACCCATCCCAAAATTAGCCTCACCTCTCCGAATACTTTAAGCGAGTGAGAATTTACATATGCTATTCACAGTATGGTTTCTGAATAGGCATCCGTTCAGTCTCTTGCCTGTCATTCTTTCTACTCTGATTTTCTTTGTTTTCATTTGTTTTCTTTCATTTCCTTTTCTTACGCTCTACAGGAACACTCAATAGGTGTGACTAGTGACTAGGAGTGTATAGTGGAATACTAGTGTCGAGCACGGTTGAATTGTTCTTTTATATTGATTTTGCAGGAAAAGGATCGTGCACTCTATGCGGAGCCTGACTGTTCTTCGTTCTTACAAACCAAGCTGAACCCGGCACCTGAAAAAAGCTTCGCGGTAGAAACTGTTATTAGAGCTGGATGCAGCACGGATGCTGTCCTGTTGACGGAAAAACTGGAAACGTCTCCTTCTGGATTGGAAGGACTGCTCACTAGGGTAAGAACATCGCTCGATCTCTGCTGATCCTCTACTTCGCTACCTGATGTGTTCGGCACCTGAGTACCTTTTTTCTTTGCTGTTATGTGGTTTTTTATAAGTTCGATTGGCTGCGGTTCTTGTTGTTTCACGCCGTACCTACTGCATACTCACTGTTGTTTTTCCAGTTCAGTGTAGAAGATGGTGCACGTCTTGCCACACAACTGGAAAAGGAACTCACGGAAGAATGGTGTTCGACATCATTATTCGGTGGTCTTGGTACCGATCGTGCTGGATTGTAAGACTTATATACAGCTTTCTATGTAGGAAAATTCAAAGGGAAATCTCAATTTTCTTCTCAGTGGAGAAGCAATTTATAATAAGTTGGCAGGGCTCATCTCCTCCTTTCCGCCATGGGGGAAAAGTAGAGGTCAATGAACCTGAGTTATGGAGTCCGTAATAAATTTATCGTAATGGTCAAAAGGGAATAAAAATTGGAACAGCCGTGGAAGCACAACAGAAGGAAAAAATAACCGTGCTCGAGAAATGGTCGAATTCTGATACTTGGGATATATATAGAGGTTAATAATGTAATGACAGTGTGCGATGTTGCTGAATATTTTTAGAAATATCAACTTCAATCTCAGGATTTCGATATTCTTCGAGATCAGAAGGTAGCACATAAAGTTATGTTGTTTGCTAGGAAAGCAAATGGAAGGCTGGTCTTCTCGGAGGCACAGTTCACTGAAATTTTGAAGCACCCTTTTTATGTTGAGAGCGGTATATAGTAATGACAAGAGCATCGGTGGCGAAGGAAGCGACGAAATACACGAAGATTCGGAAGCAGCAAAATAGAGGGTTGTACGACATGACTGAAATGGCACGGAAGGTGGAATTGCGACGAGATCTCACTGTTGCAATTGCGTCACAAACTGTGTACATTAGGCCGAAAATGCTTGAAATTGTCTTACACTGTCACCATGGGTCACGCTAGTTTTCTTGTCTTTTCAAGGTGTCTTTTGTGGATAGTGCAGCCTCCACATCGACGTGAGAACTCCTCCGCCCTTGGACAAGCTCTTTTCTCGCTTTCCCGCTTTTAAGTCCTTATTGCGCATTATCCAGCTTTTTTTAACCTGATGGTGCCCCGCGTAATGCGCTTTGTGCGGTCACGGGTTCGCCTTAAGAAGAAATTTCGGTAACACTTTTGTCGACTGTGCCTTTCTCTTATGTTTTAGCAAAGTGAGCGTTTATTTTTCTTTACTTTCGGACTAGAAGCAACTCCGGATTTGGGAAATTTCGTAAGTCCATTGAATTCAGAGACCCAATACAAACATCAACTCTTGAAATCGTCAGTGAACTCGAACCTTCGGGATCCTACTTATCGTTTGAGGAACAAGAAAATGCATACTGTACGATCGACCACGCATATCGGTTAGTGGTAGATGAAATAGCGCTGGCTCTTGATTTCTGGCATGCCTTTTAAGAAAAAAATGAAAATGACATCTCTATAGGAGAGATATACTATCTAATAAAGGGGATATGGTTCGTAGATCAATCACACTTAATTGGCTCTTGGAAGAATTCACTCATTCCGAAAGAAGTGTGATTGATCAGCACAGCTTAGGATCTCAAAAATTTGCCTCTTCTTCTATTTTAGTCCTGCTACCAAAGAGGCTGGTACAATTGTGTGACCGTCTTCCACATTTGCTTACAGCTCTTTTCTCTTTACTTGGGTTGAAACGATAGTTCATTCAGACCAGTTTCTGATGGAAAGTTATTAATTTCAGAGTTGTGGGTGGCTCTCTTCTGCAAACCTACGATCTGTTATGCAATATAAATTTGCATCTTCTTGTCATTCAACGAGAAATGCTCAAACATGAGTAAGGGTTTCTTTTTCGCTTTCACTTGGTGGGAAGCATATTGTATCTGTCTATGCTCTCAGAAACAAGATTCGAGAGCTCTGCAGAAAGGATGAATTGTCGGAGCGGAGCTTCACTGTAAGCTTTCGTTGCATCTTTATTATCAATTTTACGAGAGCTCATATGAAGGTAAGGTCTCGTTCAGGATGGTGGCAACAAGAAGCAACTACTTCGTTTGTTACTCTCTTTAGAGACGTCAGCGACTTCACTACGGAACCGCGTTGCCTCTCTCAATCGCACTGTTATGGGAGTTCCTTTTGGATCATCAAGCAATAACTCCCACATATCATGTTTTAGTCTCTTGACATGCGGATTAGGGATTGTTGTGGGAGTTATATTATACCGTCGCTTATTTAATCGTTTTCCGACTGATGCGAACCTCAACTCCACTGTAACTCCATTGGAAAGCATGTACCACTATTTCTTGTGACTTTGAATGTTTGTTATGACATAGAATTAAGCAACAAAAAATTGCTTCAGATCAGTCTTTTTCTGAAACACCCTCGCTTTTCGGCTTCATTCTCGAGCGTTTGAATGCGCATTTAGTTAATGCAAGGGGTTGGTAGTGATTATTCGGAAGTTCATGCAACGTTCTAGGTGAGGGAAAATATGAAAAAAGTAACAGAACGACTCTACTCTGTGGAATGTGTGAACTCCCAAATACGTCAGTTGTTATTGTCAAAACGCTTTCCCAAACCGTTCAGTTCATCTATTGAGAATTTATGTTTGGAGCTTTAGAAACTTTGCCAGCAGCTTTAGGGTGTTCTTCTTCCGGATGAGGGCGTTTATAATTTTCGTGACGTCTATCCGAGTGTTCTATCCCGGCTTGTGTACTTGACTCCTTCAAAATCATAACTTCTGTTCCTGTGGGCCCAGACTGGTAGCAGGAGTACATGGATGCGAAGGTCGATGGTGGGTGGTATGAAGCAGCTGAGCTGACTCTAGGGGTGGAGGATGGGGGAAGTTAGGGAAAGGCGGATAGAGAGAGAGCGGAAGATGTGTGAAATGAGCGCAGTTAGAGTAGAAATTTGAAGTCAACCGTTCCCCCGTTCTCCTGGCCCAGATTCTTTGAGTATGAAAGAGATGCAGGTAGCGGGCCAATTCCAATAGGTTTTATGATATAGGAGGACGAATTGATCATTTTAGGATGTGTTGAATGAAAGCGTTTCAATAGGGCAGCAGTCTATTAGTTTTGTCTACTAATCCGTTGTGTCAGACTTTTGTTCTCCCTTCATGTACCGTATTCAGTCTTATGGTAGTAATCACATCAGGATGGGTATGGAGAGAGAGAGAGCACAGAGTTATTTCGATTTTCATGTGAACGTGTGTTTTCTTCGCACATTTTATATTTGTTTCATCAACATTGAATTTTTTATAGGTATCCATTCCAGAGCAATTTCCCTCGTGTGTTTCATTGTTGAAAATAAAAGACAATTCTGTGAATTACGTGTAGAAAATTTCTGTCCTAAGTAAGTGTGGTTAGCTTAAAAGTTAGCATAAAAGGAGCCAACCTTATCAGAAATGGTTGTGAAAACCTCCACTGAAGAGAAAAGCATGCTTGCAAAAATCCATTCGGCAAGCGGAAGCAAACCCACAACCTTCGCCTGACAAGGGAGAGCTTTGTCTCAGCTCCATGAATACGCTTGCTGTAGTGCGGGCAGCTAATCGGAACGATCTTTGAGCAATTTTTGAAGATATATAACTTTTTGGGAAGATTCAGCAGTTCTAGCCTTTACTTTCGTGAACAGCACTCTGAACTTGATTGATTTTTTTTAATATGGAGGTTGATGTAAAATTATTGCGGCTTTTCTCTCGGTGCAAATTGAATATTGACTTTGGAATTTAGTAGAAATAATCTTCTTGCTTTCCTTGACAAAAATATGTCTAGAAATTCATTTTCTTATGCGCCACATTATGCTCTATCATTTCGAGAAAGGTTGGAAGGTGGCGCAGTCATAACGTGATCTCAACGAACTTCTCGGCGATGGAACAGTCAGCCAAAGCCGAACAAGGAGTGAAGGACGAGGAGTCTGCTTTTACATTCGCCCTATTCACCAATAGAAACTCCTATGGATCGTTCGCCAATCGTTGAAAAATTGGCTAACGAACAGAACTTTCGACGAAATGGACGACTTGATGGGCGACGTCAAGGCGTGGATTGCCTCCAAAAATTGAAACTTCATCGCCTGTGGGATCCGAATGCCTAGCAAATGGAAAGCAGTGCTTGACCTAGATGGTGGATATGCTCCGGAGTAATTATTTGAACATGTCGTTGCTAAATATTTCTATCGTTTTTTTAGAGTAAAATTTGTCGAAAAAAATCCGCAATAATTATTTATCAAACTAATAGATCCTCATTCAAATTCGATGGGAATTTGGAACCCTTTCCTGGTAAGGCAGGGAGATTACGTTTTGTAACATTAAAACGGCCATTGGTGATCATTCGATTCCACTATTCAAAATTCAAAAGTTTGTAAAGAAATGTAAACGGGGATGTGGTTTTATGATTTACAAAGTTGCTTCATTGCTTTCAACAGAGAGACGGCTATTCTGTCTTGCGATCATGGGGAACTCGTATGACCTTCGTCAGAGGTGGTGTGCAGTGTGGAATGGGTGGTCCATCTACTGCACCACACCAGAAAACTCATCACGTTTGCTACAAAGGTGTTTAGGTTGATTTTAGGTGGATAACCATGAAAGTATTTATGACTCATGTTGATTCTCATGTTTCCCCTTCCCTTTCGGGTGTTAGTCTGTCCTCCCACTCCCGACGCACAGATTTCATTAGTCTCTTTGCGAAAAAAAAATTGACCTCAAGCAAATGCTCATTACCTGGTCGTCGTCTCATATTCTATGACTATGACATAATATCCTCCGAAGGATTACGTCATATTTGATCATTAAAGGCGACTTCACTAGGTCTGTGTTAGTTCACCTAAGCGTGAAAATACCCAACGAGCATGTTTTGTACTAATTCGATTTTCCGGATTTTCGGCCGATCAGCTTGATAAATATCTGAAATTACTCTACAGTGCAATCTCGTACCTTGTGCATTTTCTGGTATGATGTCGTTTATTAAACCGTATACATTTGTAACAAGCATAACATCAGGAAAAATATTATATTCAACAAAGAAAGGTTTCGTTCCGATACTTTGACATTTGTTACCAAACGAGTAAAGTGATATAAGATTCCATGTTTGAGAAAGTACAAAGCTTCAAAATTTTACAACTTTTTGCTTGAAAAGGAACTCTGATTCTGACGTATGTTCACGGAAAACGTGCCAAATCTTCAGTTAATTATGTCCATTTTGGGTTTAGAATATTGTCACTCTAAGAATCGCGTTCTTCATTCCTCGCTAGTTCGGAAGGACTGACAGGAGCCGTTCCAAGATATCCGTGTACGAAGGCCGCAAAAGTTCCAATCCAGTTGGAGTCAAGTGACTCCCATCGCCAAGCCTTGCCAGCAGCGTTTTTGGATCATAAGTGTAAAAAACACCGTCATGAAAAAGATCCTGAAACATGAATTCTAACATAGGCTGTAAATTGAGCCTTCGATGGCCTTTGCTGTTGGAATTTTCAAGATAACTAGCAAATTGGGGTTGTCCCTCCTATCTTTTTTTATCTTCATATATGCAAGCAATTCTAGCCAATTCGTAATTTTTAGGTAAACCAAGCTGCAAGACGAATCATTCAGGTAGCACCTAAGCCCAAAAGGGCCTTAAATCTTTCAGTTGCAACTCAAGATGTATGGGTGATAATTTACCAAAAGACAAATGGTGGGACGTCATAGGACGTAGACCAAACTGAGAATACTTTTACTTTACATCGATTTCTCCCAAATCTTGGTGCACTGTAGGTTAAAACTGTACCAAAGTGCTCAACGTGGGCTCAAAATGTGCAATGCTACCCGAAAGGAATTCGCAAAAGTGGTGTAAGCGTGGGCGCATCTCACAGCATTGGCTTACTGTACGAGTTCTACAAAACTCCTGTATAAGTCAACCTTTCAGGGCGGAGTCCGCAAGCCGAGGCAACGAGAGACGTCTAGCGACACCGACACCGAGCAGCGTCGACTCCATTACTCCTTCTCATCCGACACCCATCATCTTTCACCCTCCCTACGCAGAGCTGACTTATATTGTGTGATCGTTATAGTAGTCTTTGTGTAACAGTTCCTTGCCCATTCTCGTTTATGCGTTTATTGTGTCATGATGTAGCTTCGAGCGGCATCAACAGCGGGTCATCTTACCTCTTCACTCTGTATTGATCCTTTGAAGATAAATTCTATTAATCAAACGTCTCGCTCGCTTACTGGTAGCAGCGAGTGGTACACCCCTCGCTATGGTGGAAGAGGGGATGAGTTGGATTAAGTTTCAGTAGGGATCTTAATTACTGTGACGACTAGCGAGGACGGCTATTCGTGTTAGTCCCTTTTTAAGAGTTGAATCCAAAGTCGACCGCCTCGCCAGATGGATCGAACAAGGACTACAGTATCTTTTCTTTGATCACAGCCGGCTTTTTCTCCAGCTGTATATCGAAGCGTCACTTCGCCGTCGGATGCCTTCTGCAGACGGCGCCTTACTTCTAGTGTTTCTTCAAACGTCGTCTTTCTTCTGGAGTCTGGCAAAGCGTTCCCTTTCTTCAGATGTGCAGCTTTGTTCTGACACTTCAGCCAGATGTGCTCCTTTCTTCAAGCGTTCCGTTCAAGTGTCGTCTTTCTTCTAGTGATCTGACCAGATGCCTTCCTTTTTTTGAATCCCATGTTACTGTAGTCCTTGTCCGACGCTCTCAGTGATCTCCTGCAAGGATGGCCTACAGAGCGGGGACTAAATCGTTCATGTTATAGTTCCACGGAGACCGGTTGGTCAAAGTCTAGACTTGTTTAAAAGGTACCAGTGGATGTGTGGAAGCCGAGGAAGGCTCAGTGCCCATTTCAGGGAAATGGAGGTGATGGAGATGTTGGAGCTTAGGAGAGCTCGAAGCCTATTTCAGGGAAATGGAGGTTGAGACAATCGTCGTGGTTGCGCAGCAAAAGTCGATGTGAGGATTTGATTGACAGCGTCGGCGGTGGTGACGAGGTGATAACCGACAGGGTCGGTATTTGTAGTGAGGAGCTCAACAAATTGTGAGGGCAAGGTTCATTTCGTGTGATGGTGAAGTCGCGATCGGTGGTGTAGTGTTATCACGGAGATGGAGCAATGGACGTGCGAAGACGTAGGTGAGTGTAGTAGTACGGCCTATGGCCCAGCACAAAGACATTTATTTGCTAACGAACCAAAACCCCTCAGTAGTGTGGTTCGGGGTTTCCCCTTCAGTCCCCTTACCGGATAAGGATCGAGGAACTGAGGGGACCAGCCATCTCCGCGCGAATTGAGAGATGGCTGGCGGTGTCAGACACCAGGCAGACGCCAAACAGGGCAGGACACACCTCGGTTTGCGGGCATCCCCTACCTTGGCGGTAGAGCTGCCCGCAAACCCGGTGTGCGGAGGAGGATCCGAACTAGAGACCCTCGAGCCACGAGTGATCGCTTCTTAACGGCGATCACCCGCGTCATTTGGCCGGCGGAGGATCTAGGTAATCGGTGACTTATGTAGCAATGGGATGAGTGCGCTAAGGTGGTCGAACGTGTTAAAACCTGTGTTGACCGGTTGCCTGTTACTTTGACCTCGCAGTGTAATTTTCTTTTCCTCGTTCTGCCACAGCATTACATGATCGCTTTATCATCGTTGTGTCTTCGTGTTTCGCATTATGGTCATTGTTTCAATATGCTCCTTATTGATGGTAATATGATACTCTCCTGCTTCTTCTGTTACCGATCTGCAGTACGTTGATGACTAAGCTCAGTCTCCTCTTACACTCTCTGCAGAGGCCTGCCGTTTGAAATTTTGTGGTTTCTTATCGAAGATCAGAGGTCGTGACCCTTCCTCCTTTCTTTCGACAGTTCTTCTTTGTCCCCATCAGTCAATGCACAGTATCGGACAGCCCCTTTCTCCTCCCTCATAAACACATATATAAGCTGGTATCCACACTTGGGAACACCGTTCCGTTTTCGTGCGTTTATGAGCCAGTCTCATTCTCCATCTCGTGCTAACTCTCCAGATCTTAGGGCGGCTGCCCCCCCATCTAGACTTGTTTCTAACGGCTCGACCGA